ATTGTCGGTAGAGTTGAAGAACGAGAGCTTTTTATACGAACTTAATTAACTAAGGAGCTTCTAGTCATTTTCCAAAAAAAGTTGATCCTTTTTTTTTTTTCTTTGCCACCTTTTGTGTTGTCCAACTCATGACTCGTCCCTCATCAGCTTTACTCAAATTTTGATTTCAAAACCACAAACCCAGGTTCACCTGCCACCGCCACAATTTCCACCGCAACTGCAACGCCACTGCAACCACCAGCCCAACACCAGCCTCCAAGATCCTTAGGTCGTCTCCCCCCTCACCGCCTCCCCTATTCTTACCCTTCTCACTCCCTCCCCCTCGGACCTCCATCCCAATCTAAAAATCAACAGATTTCCACCAAATAAGACCAGTCTCCTCATTCTATTCTCTACCCAGTCGCCTCTTTCGATAGAGGTTTTATACCCAAAAGCCTTCGCCTCGATCAGACTGTCAGCGTTAAAAACCCCAGCGTGTACTCCACTAGACCCCTCGTCGCTTATCCCCGTCTTCGTTCTACTCCCCCAATTGGGTCTCCTCATTTGGATGCTTCGCACTCTGTGCACTTTGTTAGGCTCCCGTACTCACAATTGCAGCAGCTCCCTCACGTTGGCGGGGGCGGGGTTGTACCGGGAGCAATTAAAGGGATTTCTATTCCACCTCATTCCAAGGTACGGGTGTCTTGCTTTTATCTTTTCGTGATTGCGGAGTAGTTTGAGTGGCCGACGACAAGAAGGTGAGAGACAACGGCAGAGTACGATGAACGGAAGTCACGACGGAGGCTTCATCATCGTCGGTGTGCGGAGAGAGTGCAGGGTAAATTCATTTTCAAATTGAAATTCGTGGGTTTATGTATGATTTTGAAATACACGGTTTTTATGCCTTTGAAATACCTTAACTGAAATATATGTATTTTATTAAAATTTAATTACATTTTATTTATATGAAAACAAATAATGATATTGAATTTAAAAAATTAAAATTTAAATACACTTCGTAAAATTCATCTTCCCAAAACAGACCATAAAGTAATTCTACAAAACACATAATATGCATAGTTTAAAAATACACTTATCTTCCAAATCTTGTATGATATATCAAAACCCAAAAATTTATTACCTATCATTTGCCAATTTATTACCTATTATCTATCAATTTATTTTGGGAAACTTAAACAATAACTTGAATTCACATATATCACCTAAACACTATAATTAATCATATTATTTATCTTAGTTAACCATCCATATCAATCTAAGGAAACGTTCCTCTGCTTAATTTCTCCGTAAATTGAGTGCTCTAGGACATTGATTAGACGAAGGACTGATTTTGTTTTGTTTTTGTTTCTGTTTTTTTGGTTGTTTGTTTTTTTTTCTCTAAAAGCCAGGTCAGCAGACAATGTGTTTGACTGCTCTTTCTACTTCAGAACCTTGATCCAAATATCATTATTCTTATTTTTATTTTTTATACTTAATTTATTACTTTCATTTTATTCATTTATGATTATTAAAAAACTTTATTTATTATAATAATTAAAATTTATCTTTTTATTTTTATTTAAACAAATTAAAATTTGTAACATTTTAATCTCTTTTTAGATAAGAATAAAATTAAAATATTAATGTTTAGAGTAATGATAAGGAGAACAAAAATTTAACACCAATTACTTGATATAAATCATATCATTAAATTAATTGATATATATATACTATCATGGGTCTCAAAAAATAAAAAGAGAAAATTAGTAAATAATATAA